ACATATGTACATATAATACACACACAGTACATACACACATACATGCATACATACATAAAAGAGTGCTGGTAGACTTGTTGTTCTACAACAACCAAAATAAATTCAAATAAAAAAGGAAACAAACAAGATCACAGAAAATGGACAATACTGTACATGACTAAACTGGTATTTTGACTGCTTTCATATATTTTGTACAATTGTAGTTTGAGGGTTTTTTAAGCTTTTATTTTGGAATGATGAACTTAGAGCATGGGGATGCCGCACACTCATTGGGGGGCTGTTTAAACTTCCCTAACTTTGTACAAACTGCTCTTGTTCCCACAAACATTTCATTTTAAACATCAAAACGTAGGATCTTTTGTCTTCTATCGTCTCGTGGGTCTCTCACCTCTACAGGAACTTGTGGATTTCTCTCAAATTCCCTTAGAGTGCAAAGAGAGCAAATCCAGAATCACTGACTTCCATTCCTGAGCTCAGGATTTACGTCTCAAAACTGGAAGGGACTTTTGTAATTCATTATATTTCCTATCTAAAACTTTGCAAACATGTAAACTTTTACATCTGTGACAACCAGATGTTAATGATGAGAGGAATATTTTTATTACCACTTATAGATTTTCTTGAGGCTTAATCTCTAATCTAGCATTTCTGTCTGCCTGTCTTATTAAAATGCTGTTAGGGAGGGAAAGGCACCAGTGTGTGGTTACCATGGTGACATGCTAGTAGATACTTTCACATCTCTCCAGATGTTTGTTCTCTTTACACTTCTGCAGTTTATACAGCCAAACATCTGCATTTTGCAGCAGAAATGTTCTAGTTTATAATTTATTCTTAATTCATGTGTACACACAAACACACACACACACACACACCACAGTGCTAAAGTCAGCACTTCTGATCTCTTACAGAAACTAACAGCCCTCTCTCCACATCTTTTCTGCTGTCTCGTGTGGCAGAGGCAAAAACAAAGTTGTCCTCTCTGCGTTGCCATGTATCACCCGAACTGACTCACCCCTCCTCACCTGCCACCCCCACCCTGCAAGTGTTATCCTCCTGACACAGGGGAGTGTTGGTGACATCGTTAAACGATGATGATGACAAGTGCATCTGCTTGAATCAGAAGCATTACCGAGTATTTGCAGGACTTGTAAAGAATATGTGAAAATAGGACTGTGGAGGTTTGCAGAAGTGTATGAAGATCATAAAGAAGGTTCTAGAAGCACGTTCTGGTTCTAAAAGCACGTTCTGTCGTTAATGTGTGTGCACGTTCCTGTATTTCCCATATATGTGCTTGGATTTATAGACCGCTCAGGAAGGAGGAAAAGAAGAAGGCAATCACTAAGAATAATCACACTGCTGCAGGGAATACATCTGCTGTGTGTGTGTGCATGCGTGCGTGCGTGCGTGCGTGCGTGTGTGTGTGTGTGTGTAGCATTTAGAACTGAGGCCTCACTGCAGATAATTAGCATTTTCGGTGACGATCACGCTGCAGATCAGAGCAGCTGACGGGGAGTTTGTTGTCGGCTTGTTCTGCACAACGTGTCCACCTCAAATCCCAGACACGCTCCTCGTTTGACATCCCATAAGAAAACACGTGCGTGTTCTGCATCTCTCAGGTGTTTGTCACACGTCAAACTATCCGTCCTGCTGCTCAAAGAGCAGGCGAGACAGACCTCCTCACTTTTAGGTTCGAGTAAGCTAAATCTCCAACACCACAGTGCAAGTGTTTGCTTCCTCTCCAGCTGGACGCTGATCTTGGCACAGCTGAGTTGGGAGTTTCAGTGGCTGTCATGTCCTGCGGACGATGCAGTCTAACAGAAGGAAGGAGGGAGAGAAGTTCTGTCCACCTGGTAGCACAGATCTACTGGAAACTGTCTTCAGTGGAACATTTGGTGTGGAAGGCATGCAGCAGGGCTTGGTGTTTGTTCTGTTCAGTTTTCTCTCAAATACGATCCAGAAATACGCCAGAGTAATTTATGTGCCACCTCCACCTCAGTAACAGCCTGTTCAGTACAAGTACTATTTGTTAGTTTCTTCATCTCCTGCAGCTAAACAGACTGATATACAAAAACATTACAAAAATTAATAATAATGAGGATTTATGCAGAAAACCAGTGAGGCTACTTTTATCAACTTTTATCTATAAAGCTCAAAATAATCCAGCTCTTCCATCTGTAACAGTCTAAGCTGACAATAACTATGATGTTTTGATTGATTGAAGTATAAAAAGACACCAAACAAGACATGCAGACAGAAACACAAAGCAGAAAGTAAGCCTGATTTTTCTAAATTTCATAGTGTTTAATGCCAACGTTGATCCTTACAAAGACGTCCGGTGACTTTTGAAGTGGTGTTATGAATAGTTAGCAATAATTAGTATATTATCGTCAGCCATAACGTCAGTCAGAGAGCACAGAGTAGTGGAGAAAAGGGCAGGATTCATCCTCCAGGATAGACTAATGGCTAGCCAAATGCTATCTTATATAATTTCCCAGAGGTAAATGGTAAATGGACTGTACTTATATAGCACCTTTCTATCTTATCGAGATACTCAAAGCGCTTTACAACACGATCTGTGCCTCATTTACCCATTCATACAGCACTCTACTAGATCTATACAAAGCTAACTGAACATATAATTCTAAAGAGACTAATCAGAGCTTTATCACATTCATACACCGATGGGACACACATCAGAGGCAACGAGGGGTTCAGTGTCTTGCCCAGGGACACTTCGGCATGTGACTGCTGTTGGATTCGAACCCCCAATTCTCGCATTGGAGGACGACTGCTCTAACCACTCAGCCACAGCCGCCCAGGCGACTTGTCTTGTAAGGGTGCTCGTCTCTCCGCTCCCCACCCAGAAGTGGTGGAGCTGCATATAAGCGGGGCATTCGGTTCTGTTGGCAGGGCAGTGTGCCCTACTTGAATAATGGTAAGGAAAACCCATCCATCCATCCATCCATCCATCCATTTTCTTTACCCATTTATTCCATTTTGGGTCACGGGGGTCGCTGGTGCCCATGTCCAGCAATCACTGTGCGAGGGGCGGGGTACACCCTGGACGGGTCGCAAGTCCATCACAGGGACACATAGAGACAAACGAGACAAACAACCATTCACTCTCTCACTCACACCTAGGGACAATTTAGTTACCAATCAGCCTAACATGCATGTTTTTGGTCTGTGGG